CCTGACTAAGGATAGGACCTGCACTCCCGTTGTGGAAGTGTGGAGTCTTAACCACTGGATCAGAGAAGTCCTTAAAATAGTAATTTTTACGCTATATATTTTTTCTAAAAAACAGACACTATATATGAAGTAAAAAGAGAGGCAGATAGAGAGGTAGATGAGGAGAAATATTTGCAACATGTATAACAAATTAGTAAAAATCCAAAGGATGTAAAGAACTTCAGCTGAAGAGCAGAAAACCTAATATAAAAATGGGCAATGACTTTTATCAGAAGAATAAAACCAAATGGTCCACACAAAAAAATTATGCACAACTAGTGAAATTTAAGTTAAAGTATGAATGAGAGGTCATGTTACAGTCATCAGATTGGTAAAAATTAAGAAATTTATTAATATTTAGAGTTGGTGAGGGTGTGGGAAATGGAACCATCATTCCTGCTGGTAGGAGTGTAAACAGAGCTATCCTCTTGGGTGGGCACTTTGCCTACATCGCAGTCACACACACACACACACACACACACACACAATCATTCAAACACATTCTTGGTCCCAGCAGTTGCACTCCAGTATATGACAGGATGAATGATTACATATGGTATACTCAAAAGATGGAATTCAGTAAAACCCAAAGAAAAAACTGGATCTGTGTGTCCTAACATTGGAAGTATATGTCTGAAATACTTCATAATACTTTTTAAAATCCAACAGGTTTATTTTTTTGTTTCTAAAGTCTGTTTTGTTTCTAAATGATGAGATTAAAGGTTCAGACTGCTGTTTGCAAGCAGTTCTCACAAATGACACCTGTGAGAGTGGACTAGCTTTACTCTCCATACATGAAAAGCCATCATGTCTGCTTTTTTCTCTTTCTTTCTAGCTGTGGCTTTGTAGTCTCTGTGACATCTGGATACGCTGTATATAAATTTTGGTTGGATAAATGCAAGAATCTGGTAACAATCATCTTTAGACAGGTTTATTTTTATGCTTCTCTTTAAATAGTTGTTTATGTCTATAATCAATGGTCCACCAAAGATTATGAATTAAACAATACAGAACTAAAAATTAAATGGTTTAGAAGCATGAAATGGTCAAAAGGCTCAGGGTTTGAGGGAACAAGTTCATCTATAGCTGATGGGGTCCTAGGACCCCCAACCTTTCTTACAAACCACATGAATGCACTGTTGACTATTGCTTTAAAGGGAAAACAATGTTTGGAATGAGATACTGAAGCTACATCCACCAAGGAGAGAAACTTGTGATTTGGGCATCAGTCAATATGGGTAAACAGTGCTTTGAAATGGACGGGAAAGATGACCCCTTTTCATTTTCCAAAAAGTCAGGTCAAAGTTACATGAATAAGAGGAATATAAACATCTTTTGTAGATAAGATGTGGCAGAGGTGAAGTGGAATAGAAATGGCTAGAGGGTCCTTCACATGGAAGTTAAATCCTCAAGATGTTGAAGTGTATTTGCTTCTAGTCGTGTTTAAGAGAAAACCAAACACAGCCCAAGATGAAGCTTCTTCCCACAGTGTTCACTCTCCCTCCAGGCAGCAGGCAGGCCACACCTCACCCTTCTGCATAGCCACCAGGCTCAGTGAAAACAGTTGGCTATGAAATTTCTAAGGCACTAGTAGGGTCTAAGACTAGATGAGCTGGAGACACCACTGGAAGAACTTCAAGTCGGGGGGACCATGAGAGATGAGGAGGGGGAGACAGATGGGATTGCCTCTGCAGCCTCTTTCTTGAGGCCCCAGCCATTACTGAGGGGTCAAGGGAAGGGGGCAGAGTAATTGAGACCCACTTTCCACTTGCAGCCCCCAACCCCCCGCCCCCAGCTTTCTAAGGTTTGGGCTGCTGACCTATGTGAAAAGCAGCTGACCCTGTGTGCTGCAGTTTTGAGGACAGTGTGTGAAGAGTTATCCGACCCAGGTGAGGAGTGTCCCTACTCATATCATTGTCAGAGGTGGTCAGTGCCTAGTTCTTACTTGGAGCACAGCAGTGAAAAGTGGCTGCCCCTCCCCTCCAAATAAAGATTCAGTGTTAAATTCACGGAGTTTAAGGAACCTGAGTCAACCAGAAGTAACGTCTCAGAGGCCAAAGAGAGACCTAAGCCATAAATTGGGGGATCATCAGCTTATGGATGGAAGTGAATGAGGTCATCCAAAGAGAGTATGCAGTGAAGAGAGGGCCTGTGAGGGAACCTGGAGGACACCAGTATTTCAGGGTGTTCTAACCCAATCAATCAAAGACCACCGGGGACAATCCATAGTCCAATGAAGTCAGATTTATTGACCCATTGCTATGAGGAAGATAGCACATCAGAGGAATCAAGGAGTGCCCTACCATACACAAAGAAAAAGAGTTCTTATAGGATCTGAGAGAGGTGGAATTAGGTGAAATGTAAATCAGGCAGTATTTTGATAGCTCAAAGCAAACCAGAGCTGTGTGTAAGGTAGCTTACATCAGGTCTGGACTGCTCAGTGGACTCAGGGTCTTGTTTCCTCGGAAACAATAAAGTTAAGGCTCATGTGGAATACATGTTTAGAAGTCCCTTTTCTGAATCTCTCCACACCTGGGTTGTAAACCCTGTCGTCTTAGTGATTTAGCTCCTCCAGGCAAGAGTTCCATTCCTATTCTAAAAGCAAAATTTCTGATAGTCTGCGATTTTAGAAAACAAAATTGTTCAGTGAGTAAGAAACAGTCACTCCAAGAAGAGGGTTGTTATGATATTTTATAGCTGCAGTATGTCTCTGGGAAACATTTTGTTTCTTATTAATTTTGCATCTGGCTTTCTCTCTGTCTGTTATTCCAGCCTGATGAACACCACAGCAGGTTTTTACAGCCTGAACTAATTTTTAGATTTTCAAGGGACACACAAAGGAGGTGGAATCTGCAAATACTGAGTGTAGTAAGTAGGCAGTGTGGACAAAAAAATAATATGTTGCCTGTCAAGTAAGTAAACAAAAAATGTTTCCTGCCATCAAGTCATCAGCCCCTGCAGTTACCCCTTACAATGGGTGCAGCCTGAGGGGGAATTCTGGATGGAGAAAAACAGTATACTAACCCTAGGTAGTTTTAAAATGCATCAGTTCAATTCAGTTGCTCAGTCATGTCCGACTCTTTGCAACCCCATGGACTGCATCACAGCACCCCTTGTCCATCACCAACTCCCGGAGTTTACTCAAACTCATGTCCATTGAGTTGGTGATGCCATCCAACCATCTCATCCTCTGTCATCCCCTTTTCCTCCTGCCTTCAATCTTTCCCAGCATCAGGGTCTTTTCCAATGACTGAGTTCTTCCCATCAGGTGGTCAAAGTATCGGAGTTTCAGCTTCAGCATCAGTCCTTCCAATGAATATTCAGTAATGATTTCCTTTAGGATGGACTGGTTGGATCTCCTTGCTCTCCAAGGGACTGTCAAGAGTTTTCTCCAACACAGTTCAAAACCATCCCAAAGGAATAATTTCAGTAAGCCTAGACTCTTGCATCTTCTCATACATAAAAGGGCACTAAAAGTTAATTTGTGACATCTGGTTTCTTGTGTATGAATAGCAATAATCTTTGAATGTTCACTACACATCTTTTTTTTTTTTTTTCAGGAAAAATTCCTTGCTCCTTCCTTACCTCTTTTGAACAGTCCTTCAGAGCTATCTGAGAGGCTGCCATCCCAGGTTATAATCCTCAGTAAGGCTGCAAATAAAACGTAGTTCTCAACCTTTACGTGGTGTACTTTTTTTCAGTCAACAGTAGAAAGAAAACTATAAAGTCTTAGGTCTCACAAACCAGGAAGATGACTGTTGATTATGAACACTAGGAGGTCTAGTACACTGTGCACTGTAGAATAAGGTGGCCACTAGTCATAGCTGAAACTCCAATACTTTAACCACCTGATGCGAAGAACTGACTCACTGGAAAAGACCCTGATGCTGAGAAAGATTGAAGGCAGGAGGAGAAGGGGACGATAGAGGATGAGATGGTTGGATGGCATCACCGACTCAAAGGACATGAGTTTGAGTAGGCTCCGGGAGTTGGTGATGGACAGGGAAGCCTGGCAGGCTGCAGTCCATGGGGTCGCAAAGAGTCATAAGCAACTGAGCGATTGAACTTAACTCAGCCCATAGGTTGCTATTTAAATTTAACTAAAAGTAATTAATTGGATTTAATTTTTAAATAAATTCAAATAAATATTTCTCTTCCTTCATGGCACTTAACCTCATGTCAAATGTTCAGCAGCCACAGGCTAGTCTCTACCCTATTGGACAGTGCAGCTGTAGAATATATCCATCGTTACAAGCAGTAAGAGAACTGAGAGTCACAGGCGATGGTGACCCCTGGGAGTGTATTCTCAGCCCAACACTCAGCCCAACAGCGCTACTCTCTTCCTTTGACAGCTACCGTGTAACTTATCCGTACCTCGAACCAACAACCCAGGCTAAAAGCCGGAGGCTCCAAAGCTTCTTCACGTTTCCCTTCCTGCACAAACTCACTACCATCGCCACACTCCATCTCCCAACAAGCCCCGGGCCCTTCTTGTGAGACGCTGGCCTCTAGGACTTCTGGGAAATGTAGTTTAAACAGCGTCCCAACTCCGAAAAGGTTCTAGCCATGAACTAAGGCTCCCATGAGGCAGTGCGTGGTCAGTTCCGGTCCAATTCACCGCAGCCGCCAAGTGTGCCGTGAAGGGCCCGAAAGTTGGCACCCGAGACTTAGTGCAACGGTGACTTGAGATGCAGGAGTCTGGAGAGACCGCGCTGTCCCTCTCCCTGCCACTGCTTAGGTCTCCGCCGCTCCGGAGTTGTAGAGATGCCTCAACCCAAGGGGAAGCCGACCGGGCCCCAGGGAACCATAGTTACGCTCCAGCCACAACCCCTCGGGGACTTGAAAGCAGAGTCCGAAGGCAGGCGGTGGGGCTATCCCTAACGGGAAGCGCACGCGCAAATGCCGGGCCTCAGGGCTTCTGTAAACACAGAAGAGCGCCTGCGCGAACGGAGCGCCTGGGGATGGACACGCGGGGGCGCCTTAACAAAGATAACAGTAATAAACAGTAATATAATAGTCCCGTTATTTTTCCTGCCTTTTTTTTTTTTTAATGGTTTGCTAAGCACAGCTCCCTTCATTGCGTCTGTTAATCTGATCTTTGGAGCACTCATTTTACCAGTGGGACAGCGGGTCAGAGAAAGTGATACAGCGAGAGTATGCTAGGGCATCTTTGCGTGTGAGGGACCAACGATGGTTCAGGATGCAAGGACTCTAGACTCTGTCTCTGAGTTGCTGTGTGACCTTGGTAGTTCTGTTCCCCTGAGGACCTAAGCTTTCTGATTTGTAAATGGAAGTAGGATATTGGAAGGGTCAAATAAGATGCAGAAATGAAACTAAGTGCCGAGCAATCTATAAGGGCAGAAGATTATTATAATCGGTGATTGCAGATTGAGGAACTATTTCATCATACTACAAATTGTAAAACTGAGGGCCCCTACAGGGGCAGGAGCTTGCTCCAGGTCTCAGCAGTCTGTGAGCAAGGGCTAAAACCCAGGCTGCCAGCTTTGGGCTTGGAGCCCTTCCCTGCACCTCCAGGATTAGTTGCATATAGGCTTAGAGAGACAGACTGCGCTCAGAGTCCAGAGAAGCCCCTATTCCTAATCCTTCTCCTACCTGCTGGTCCTAGTGGAGGAAGACCTGCTCTGTTGAGATGACTGCCAAAGGCAAGAAATTGAGGAACTGGAGAATGCTGGAGACAGAGGACAGTGTGGCAGAAGCTGTACAGATCCTACTTCTCAGAAGAGTGGCCCAGGTAAGGGAAGGAGCTCAGATGTGACAGATGAGGGGCTAATGTTAAGGGGACCGACCCTGAATGGAAACGGGTGGTCTCTATTTCTGAACCTGAGTGCTCAGGTGATTTCATTTGGGGCTCTGACAGCTACCCATGACAGCTGGAGGTGGTACCTGGGCTGGCTTGGATGCTAAGGACAGGAAGTGATACAGGTTGAGCTGAGAGGCTTTAGGAGCCACTCCCCCAACCAGGTGGAGCTGCCGGGTGGCATCGTGGGCAAACCATACTACCAACCAAGATCCTGCCCTTTTCTGTGTCCCTTGGAGCGGGGCTGTACCCAGTTGTTTTTCTCTGGAGTGCTCTTAGAAGTTCTGGACATAGGTTTGGCAGGGGCTTGGAGCCGCTAAGGTCTGGTTGCAAATGGGGCCTCCTCCGGCAAGTCATGAAAGGAAGGTGTTTGTAGAAATAGAAATTCAAGATCTTCCTCATCTCTAACTGTCTCATTCTCTGGGCCTTCACCTGTCTCTGTTTTCAGCAGGGGAAACTGAGGCTAACGGAAGAAAAGACTCTTCAGGACACACAAGGAGCTGGCGTAAAACTGGACTAGGATAGGGATCTTTCCATGACATGGCAGTGATCAAACATCTTCATCAAACATTTATTGAGTGTCTAATGTATACACTGAGAAGAGCTACCTTAGGGTACAAACAGAAGCCAGGATTGCAATCAGACTCAGCTTTTAATTTGCCCTCCCAGTGACTTAATGCTGTGATTCTTGGTGAGTCACTACCCTACTCTGAGCCTCACTGTCTCTAAAGTGGGAGTGGTAAGCCGTATCCAGGGCTATCTGAGGTGTAACTATGAATTAAATGAGTTAAGAACTGTTAAGTGCATATAATAGCACTAGGCCCATGGTACTGGCTCAGTAACTGTTAGCCGCTCTTTGTTACTCATGAACACAGGTGGAGGCCAGCTGGAGATAGGGTTCTCCCAGAGTCTGGCAGGGGCGGAGATGCCACCACCCCTGATCTGTCTGCCTCCCAGATACCTCCACTCTGCACCCAGGCAGCCTGTGTTTGTGAAAGTTGAGGGGTGGGAGGCCTTCGGATCCCCATTTCTCCCTCTGGCACTGGGAACCTGGCAGGGAGCATTTACACCTCCACACACATGTGATTCATGTTCCTGATGACCTGGGTCCAGAGTTAAGGTGATTCTTGCCCAGAGCTGCACAGTACAGCCCTGGGCAGTGAGACCAGAACCATGACCCTTCCTCCCTGCAGGGCAGAAGTCCCAAAAGGCTGACAGCAGGGTCTTGACCTGTGTGTGTCCCCTAAACAGAGCAGGAGCTGGGGACAGAGAGGCACCTGGGTGGGAGACAGGGCCCAATATCAGATACCCTACCCCCAGCTCACCCTGTTTGAAGGTGGCGGTCTAGTCCACTGGTACTTTCAGCTCTGGTCCAGGCCGCCCTAGTGGAGGTCTGGTTCAAACCCCTTATTTATAGAGAAAGAAAGAGATGACCAGAGAGGCCACGAGCTCACCCAGAGCCCCACAGTAAGGTGGGGGGTGGGGGTCTAGGCCAGAACTCAGGTGTCCTGGTGTTCGGCCAGGGCTCTGCCTGGCAGCTGGTTAGGAGGGGGCAGGCTCCATCTCTCTTTTCCCTCTGCCACTGCAGTCACACTTGGAGCCAGATGTGGACACCTGGGTGGGTTGTGGGTTGGGGCATAGCAGGGTGGGGGGGGGGTGCACAGACAGATAAAGGAAAGGGGAGTAGAGGACCTGGTCAGAGAGCAGTCCAGAGCCGAGCTGGGGTGGGTGGACTGGGGAGCTCTCAGTGGTGTGTGTGGCTGCTGCAGGATTCTAGGGCCTTATTAATCAGTCTGAGGCAGCAGAAGATAAAAATACCGTGGGAGCACACTCCTGGAGGAGGGTAGCAAAGCAGATTCAGTAATGAGTCACAGAGCCCAAGCCCTAAATTTAGAAGGTGCTGAAGGAGGCAGCCACCCCCGGGAAAGCACCGTGGAGATGCCCACTAACTGGGGGTACCAGTGCATCAGGGCAGAGGGCAGTGGTTGGCAGGAGTCCCCGACACAGCAAAGCCCCAGGAAAGCTGGGCTTCTAGGCCTGGCCCAGGGATGAAGTTTGGACCTCAAGATGAACCCTGACCCAGGGAACAGTCTTCAGCCACTCACTGACAGAGCTCCTAGCAAGCCTTCCCCACACGAGCCCTTCAAAGGGTCCTAGACACCAGCCCCTGGGGTGTGGACATCTCAGGACTGTCCTGCCTGCTGGCTGGGCACAGCCAGGCTCCCTGGGGCCTGCTGCTCTCCTGGGGCACTGTTGTCAGACACTGAGAAGGGGGCTGTGTGGATGCGAGGAGCTCATGCCGTTGAGTGAAGGCCTCCCAAAGGGGACCCCTCCAGGCCTTTGTAGCTTTGTTAGGAACTGGGGTGAGGGGGGGGGTGACGAGATGTTATAATGCTCTATTCTCAGCCCTCCAGGTTCCAGGTGAACCTAGATTGTTTCTTTTTCTCCAGGTCAGAAGAGGGAGGCCCTGCCACCAGGTCAAGGAGCAGAGACTTAGAAAAGAGGCTATGCCTTGGGGACAGCTGCCAGACCTGGGGTAAGGGAGCTTAGGAGACAAGAATTGATAGTAGCTGTGGTGTTTACTGAGTGATTGTTGCTTGCCAGGCACCGTGCTAAGTTCTCCATGTGCATGATCTCACTTCATTCCGGAGGCAATGATGTAAGTCCCACTAGCCTACTTGTTCATAGAAATGGGAGTACCAAGACAGAGAGGTTAAGTAACTTATGCTGGATCACACAGTAAGAGGTTCTAACCCAGACGGCCTAGCTCCCTAGCCCAGGCTCTTAGCCATTATGCTAGACTGCTGAGCAGGGTGTTTTACCCTATCTGTGCTTCTCTCTGGGCCTTGCAGGGTCTTGATGCCCAGGGTGCTCCTAGGCTTGGAGGAAAGAAGAGACTAACAGAGCTCTACTGCATGCACCCCCCACCATGCAGGAGTCCACAGTTTATAGAGCCCACCCAGCTGCCCCAGGCCAGGAGAGAGGCATCTTAAGCACCTCAGCAGGAAAACAGACCAGAGAGGTGCCGGGCCTTGCCCACAGTCGGTGGGCCCAGAGTAGAACCATGGAGACTCCCTCTTTGGGAGGGCCCCAGACCCAGATGGCCAGCACCCACTCTGCAGGCCGGCTCCTTCTCCTGCTAATGTCTGTTAGGCATTGCTGCCTGAAGGAACCTAGTTCGATTGCTGGGTCAATGCAACCTTCTGAAAGTCCTGGAGTTCTCTGTCAGAGGCTCTTGATCCATCTGCTTGACCCAGGCCCTCCCTTCAGCTCTGTGCTCAGGCTGGGTGGCATTGGGGGTGGCGGTGTCTTTATGTGTCTTTTGGGGAGGACTAGGTTGTCTGGCCCTTTTACCAGGGCGAGAACTCCAGCCCTGGGACAACGCCTTCTTTTCTGGAAGCCCCCACACCTTCCTTCTTTTGGTTTCTTCATATTTTTTCATCTCAAAGCTGAACCCGCAGTGCCCTGACAGAACAGTTTCCACCTCCTGGAATTAGTGGGGCCTCTGGGGGAGCTATTAGTATCACCCTTGAATGGGGGAAGGGTCAGAGGGCCCACCCCCAAACCCCTAGGCTATTGTTCCTGGGGGGAAGAGGAGCTCAGACCTGCCGGGGACACAGCCTGGCCCAGGTGTAACAAGACTTCCCTTGTACCCCTTCTTCCCCCTGCCAGAAATCACACGTGGGGATACCATGGATAGGTTCTGTTTCTTGCTGGGCCTTATTTTCCTCATTTTTCAAATGGGGCTAAGGAGTCCCATCATGACCTTCCACCTAAGGTTATTGTGAAGGTTAGACAAAATGAGTGTGGTAGACTCTTACTCTGCCCCAGGACCTCTTCACAGAGAGGATGTGCCAGGCCGTTTGTGTGTGTGTGTGTGTGTGTGCGCGTGTGCACACACACGTGCACACAACAACTGTAACCCAGGTGCTGACCGCATTTCCAGGGCAGGTAAGGCCAGGACTGTCATAGCACTTTCGAAAAATATTTTCAGGTCTCAATACAGTGAGGGTCTTTCATTTCGAAAAGTCACCTTCCCATAAATGATGGGGTTTTTTGTGTGTGCACAGAGCCTGTTTTGGGGGTCATTAACTTATTGAGCTCACTGGTCTGGATGTGGGTCTCCTGCCACCATTGTTTTATTATTTGGGGGCATGTCCTGTGCTTCTGTTGCATGGTTTTGTTGCTAAGCAAGCCTGCTTAGTTTTGTGGTTAAGCAAACCTGCTTTTTCGAGTAATCATTAATTTACAGGAGTTTCCCATATTTTTCTACTTATAATCCCCTAATGGGATTAACTGTTTAATCACTTATTTTTGTCTCTCTATTCTATCCCTATCACAGCACTTGGCTGTGACAGCGTCACCAGCAGGGGAGGGGGTGTGGGTAACTCTGACTGTGTGCCTCTCTGTGATTCCCTCAGGCTCTAGCAGCTCACTCAGGGCAGTGTTTGAGCTGTTTGCTCAGTGAGGCCCAGCAGGGGTAGGAGACCCACCCTGGGCAAACACTCAGATCCGGCTCCAGGTGGGACTAGGGTGCTGAACCTGTTGCTGCCTGCCATCAAACTGTAAAGGACACATCCCTCAAGGCCATGCCAGCCCTGGGGGCCTCAGAGTGCTCTGTCCTCAGCCCTTCCAGGGGGGCCTCTGGAATCACCTCTCTGCTGCTTCCTGGTGACATCACACAGGTCATTGCTCAGTCTTCTAGAATGGTGCCCCCAGGATACTGCCTCGTCCCCCTAGGCAACTTGGGAATTTTCTCATCCAAACTGGCAAGGCCGGTTACCCCAGAGGAGAGGAGCTGGGGGAAGCAGGGGTCAGGGAGGCCTTCTCCTCATCTCCCAGAGGGGAGATCGAGGCAGCCGTCCATCTGTCTGACTAGATGGTGAGTAGGAGGGAGCACCAGGAGCAAGTCAGGACCTGATAGCCCCTCATTGTCTAGGACACTTGGGCAGGGGAGGAATCTTGAAGCAAAGAGGGTTGTGACTGCCCCAAGGTCACCCCTAGGGTAGTGAAGGGGGTGGCATGTAGTGGGGAGCAGGGACAGAGCCTTGGGTTAGGAGCTGGGAGACCTAAGATCTTATCTGTGCTCTGACTCTGCTGCTTGGGCCTTTGTTTCTCCATCTGTACAGTTTGGGGCTGCGGCCAGATGATGTTAGTCTGTAGGTCTTTAGTCCTGATGGGAACTCAGAGAGGGGAATTGAGAGAGGAGTGTTATGGACCAGGTCATGGATGGCTCCAGGCAGGTGTCCTGACTCTGTTCCAACAGCTGGCAGGGGTCAGTGAGCAAGAACAGGTGTGAATATCTCCAAACAACCCCTCGCCCCATTCCGGGAGCCCTACTAGGTAGTTGTGGTCCCCAGATGGCTTCTGTCTTACTTTGATTCAGGGGCATCCCTATGCCTCCTACACCTCAGCTTCTCTCTCTGTGAGGGAAACGTGTAAAACCTGCACTTGCTCAGCACCCTGGGTCATGATTCCTCACATTCTTATGATGCCTCTCAGCTTGCTAAGCACCTTCTCTTTCTCATACACGCTCCTGCCTTCCACGCCCACTCTGAGTCCTGCTTGGTGCTGTCCCCATCCTGGGGCTGGGGCCTGGAAGGGCACTTCCACCCAATCCACTTTCTGTTGAGGAGCACTGGGACAGGGGCTGCAGGGGTCAGACAGGGTCGTGCTTCGCCAACCTTTTGCACTGTTTACCCTTTCACGAGAACCTTAACAACCATCCTATTAAGGTATTTCCTTAACACTTTTTGCAGGAAATATGTCATTTTTGAACAGTGTATTTATTCCTCCCTACCTTTCCCCTTCCAATTTATATTTTTAGTTATTTGGGGTGAAACCGACATGTATACAACTCTTTTCCTTGCAATAATTCTCAAGAGAGTAGGTATTATTATTCTAGATGAGGAAATTGAAACTCAGGTGACAGGACATGTCACCTGCTCTTGGTCACACGTTTAGGAAATTGTATCAACAGGATTTGAACCCAGGTCCACTTTGCACTTCCAGGCTGTGGGAAGCAGGGATCGACAAGTCCTAGGACTCCTCTCCAGGCTCCTCCCCCAGGTCCTCCATCCCAGCCCTCCTAGCCTTCTCTCTGCCGCTCAGGGGTGTTTGAGACGGGATATGAATCTGCTTTGATCCAAGCATGTTTGGGCGGTTGTTATGAACCTTTGAGCCAGAGATACCTAAATTCCTGGGGCACTGGGAGAGCCTGCAAGGGCAAATTGTTGATGAATGAGGATTTATGCTCCAGCCAGCCTGGCCTAAACCTGCAGGCAGGGTTGAGCCCAAGGCATGGCCACCTGATCCCAAGGGTACCAGGTCACCCACCTTTTCTGACCCAAGACCCAAAAGACTCATTCTTGGTTAATCTATATTTGGATTTGAGTGCTGGTTTGATTTCTGCCATCTCTACCTCCCTGAATTTGTGTGTCTCAGACTGGCAGTGCTCTCGAGGGTGAAGTCCTGTGAGCCTGTCCTCACTGCTATCTCCCGCTGTCACTTCAGCCTTATCTCTTCCTCCCAGGACTAGGCGATGGGGATGAGAGGTGTACTGTCCTGGTGCTTGCTGTCAGCTGACGTGTGTCACTGGGGCCCTAAAAAGGCAGAAGCCGCCAGGCCAGTGCTCCTTTCCCTTTTCCTCATGGCAGATCCCAGAGGCTACAGTTCACAAAGCCGTCTCTGTATACCCCTCTTATGAGTCTCATCAGCCTCGGTATGAGGCTGTCAGATAAAACTATTGAAGCCAGGGGAAGGGCAGTGAACTGCCTACGGCTGCGGTGAAGGCAGAGGATGTGTACAGCAGAGAGCCAGAGCCCTGGCCTCTTGAACCCAGAGCCCACCCCCAGGCCACCCACTACCACACACTTAAAGAACGTGAGTTAGAAGGGCCAAGGATGATTATCTGACTGTGCTGCTCACACTGGAGATCCAAGGTCACGTGGGGACCTGCAACTCATTTTACAAGATTTACTTTGCAGCATGCCCCTTGGGGTGACCTGCCATCACAGTTCCCTCTTCACCCCTCCACTGTTAAAATCGGGCCTGATTCACAAACGTCTCAGAGCCCTCAGCACCTGAGGAAGAAACACCTCTATTCGTGAATCCACCGTGACAACTCCTCATCTTTCTCTAGCACCTTTAAGAAAAGCTGTTCCATCCTAGAACTCCAGGATGGTGAGGCTAGGAGGTTATACGTTCGGATGCTCACATTCTACAGATGGGAAACTTAGGCCCAGAGAGATGGGGCAGCCAGAGCCAAGGAAGGAACCCTGGGGTGGGAGGTGGCTGAGATCTGGGATCTTGGCAGGATGGCCGTGTACTCACTGATGACCCTGGGCAAGTGATGGGGCACTTGTGCCCTATTAGCTGCCCATCCAGGGGAGCGCACCACGAGCCCTCCCTAGTCACTCAGGTAGTGAATACTCAGCCTTGGGCCTGTTGCCACTCTCATTGGCCTGGCCTCAGAGAAATTGAGCTTTGGCCTCAGTTAACACAGAGCAGCGGGAGACAGAGCTAGCACTAGGACCCAGGGGGCAGGTAGCAGTTGCTCTGGCTGGAAGGGGTGGCTGGAGTGCTGGTGGACAAATCTCCCCTGTGGCTGTGGAGCTCTGGCCAGCTCTGCCTGGGCAGGGCCAGGGAGCCCCAGAGCTCCGGAGCCAGATGCTCTGGAAAGCCTAGTTTAATCCATGGGAGGTGTGTGAACACGTACAGGGGTGCTCAGGAGGACTGGGGGTGGACAAGGACCAGAGTCCCGGACTGGAGGAGGATTAAAGCTCCCAGCCGGGAGTGTGATGGGAATGGAGATTTTGTCCAAGTCTAGCCACCTTGTGAACCTTGAGGCCAGTGGTTGGTGGGGGAGACAAGCTGTGGGCTCTTGATTGTGGTGGGAGTGTGCCCATCTTTGGGTCTCAGGGGTGTGGTGTGGGGATGTCTCTGGGTGGTTCTAAGGACCAGCTGCTTGTGTGTCTTAAGTAGGCTGTTGCAGAGGTGTGTACCTGTGAGTGTGGGAGGGTGTTGGAGATAAAGGGTTCACAATTAACTTTCAGAATCCCCCTTCTAGCACCGCCTCGCTCTTCCTCTCAGAGCCCTATCTATCTTGGACCCTCCTCAATCCCTGCCTGAGGACTGGTCCGGCCAGGTCCTCTTCGGGGGCGATGGGGGCGGGCGCTAGGACCCGGCTGGGCGGGGTGGGGCGGGGCTCCAAGCCCCGTCAGCTGTACCTCCGCAGCCTGGAAAATACCGAGCCCAGGCGAGCTGAGCCCCCGGAGCCCCCAGCCTAGCCCCGGGGGAGGGAGGGAGGTGGGGTGGGGGTGGCGCGCGGGGCAGGGGGACGCGGGGCGGGGCCGGGTGGCGGGACCCACTGCTCCTCTCCCCAGAACCCCCGCGCGGCCCCGGTCACCCGGGCAGCGGCGGCGGCGGCGGCGGCGGCGGCGGCAGAGGCGCTCGCACCCCCGGCCCCGGCTGGCCCCGGCGAGCAGCGGGCACAGGTGAGCCTGCCGGCCCGCGGGCGCCCCACCCCGCCCCCATCACCGGCCCCGCGCGCTTCCCGCGCCGGCGCCGCTGCCGAGTTAGTTGAGCCAGTCCGGCCAGCGCTGCGCGGACCCCACCGGACGGTCTGTCACTTCGGGTCCCGGCCTCCCCTGGGTCCCGACGGGCTTCCCCAGCACCCCAATACGCAGCCCCCACTCCGGCTCCCACCCCCGGCGGTCTGAGGTCGCGCTTTTGTGGAGAGAGAGAGGGGCATACTGCCCAGTGGCGGCCGTGCGCGCTGGCCAGGGGGCCAGCCCCTGCTTCTCTCGAACTCGCTACCTGCCAGGACCCCGGACAGCCGCACGCGCACCCGCAGCGTTCTGACTCCGGTTCCCAAACCGGTCTTGCAGGTCCCTGGAAGGTGGCGTCAGCATCTGCAGCCGCGTCGACGTTGTCGGAGCCTCCGCGGAGGACCCAGGAGAGCAGGACCAGGACCAGGGCCCTGGGCCTCCCCATGGAGCAGTCAGCTGCCTCCCCAGAGCCCCCGGGGCCTCGGCCAGTCCTGGGCCGCGACAGCGTCCAGGTGCCCGACGACCAGGACTTCCGCAGCTTCCGGTCAGAGTGTGAGGCCGAGGCGGGCTGGAACCTGACCTACAGCAAGGCCGGTGTGTCTGTGTGGGTGCAGGCTGTGGAGATGGATCGTACCCTGCACAAGATCAAGGTAGGGTGGCCCCGCAGCAGGTGCAGCCGGCACTGCGCCCTGACTGCCTCTGGGAGTCTCCCGGTCCTCCAGCATGGTACAGACTCCTGGCTGTGCACCTCAGAGTCTCCTGTGAGAACCCAGGAGGCACAGTTTGCTGGGCAAGCCCCCATCTCACAGATGGGCCAGCTGAGGCCTGGAGACAGGGGGTGTGACTCACTCAGCCGCTGCCTGCTCAAGGAGGTGGACTGCTGCCAAGCCCACCTAGGAGAGTGGTCTCCTTCAGGGAGCCCTCTGCCCTTGAAGTCTTTCCCAGGTCCTGACTTGAGTCATCTCAGGTGGGAGACTGAGCCCTTCAGTACCGAATTCCTGATTCTCTCAGCCTGAACTGGGTCTCTTTCCCCACTCTCTGCACTTCATCCTGCCTGATGCCCTGCTCCTCCCTCTTCCCTGCTGGCTGTCCCCTGAGTCTCTCCTGCAGGGACTCAGGATCCTGGCTGGCAGATCCTGAAAGCGGGGCTTGGATGTCCCTGCCTCACACGGGGCCAGGCTGGGGGCAGGCTGGGGAAGGAGGGACCAAGGTGTAGGCCAGCAGAGTCAGGGAAGACGCAGGCATATCTGGCCTCTCTCAGCCATCCACTCCACTCCTCACAACCCCATGATTTTCTTCTCTTTGTCAAAAGAGGGCCGGCTTGGGTTTTGGGACCCCGTGAGCCCACCTCCCCTGGGGGACTAGATGGGGAACAGGCTAGTGAAGACTCTGATGAGAGCCCTCAGTGACTGCCTCCAACACAACACATCTGGCATTGCTGTCAGTGCCACTCTTCAACGGGGCAGGCAGGTCTCCCTTCAGTGGGATCCTGGGTGTGCCCTCCCCTCTCTCTTGCCTCAGCCTTCCTGCTCTCCTTCTCGAACACGTGGAGAAGTGTATTCCTGTGGTGGAAGCTGGCAGAGGTGGGAGCAGGGCACTGGACTTGGAGAGCACTCCTGCCCTCCCCCGACTCCAGCCCCTCCTGCCTGGGACCTGCCCTTGGATTCGGATTTAGCTCTGGCATCAGGGCCTCATAACAGGGCCAGAGATGTCTGACCTTCTCTGTCTGACCCTGTGCCTTTCTGTCTCCCTTTGTCTTAGTCATTTAGAGCTTTGTCCATCTGTCCCCACGTAGGCACCTGGCTCACCCGTTCTGCCTTACCTGCTCCCTTCTTGACTCTTTGTCTGCACCCTGGCTATCTGACTGTCTTTTTCTCTCCCAGTTCCCATGTGTGTCTCCTTTTCTCCCTTTCTGGGACTCTCTGCCCAGGCCTGAGGACCCTGGGCCGGGGGCTTCCCCAGAGCTGGACCTGTGTCTAAGTCTGAGGAGCAGGGAAGGGCAGGGCCACTGGTATGTTCCAGCTTAGTGCTCTCCAGGGACAGGGACACGTCCTATCCTTTCCGTCCTCAGCCTCCAACACAGGCCCAGCAGGGATGTTGGTTGAATCAAGGATGGAAGGAAGGAAGGAACAAAGGAACGAATTGAATACAAAGTGAGCAAAGTTGTTGTGAGAAAAAGGTTGTTTTCCTGCCTGTAACCTGGGAAAGGCTCAGGCTGGACTGTGCCATGGGGTAGGGAAGCATAATCTCCCCATCAAGCTGGCTCTCCAGAAGGAAGGGAAGGGGAAAGTCTGAACTGAGCCTGGGACTCCCACCCTCTGTGTCAACAGAGTGGAGCTTCCTCCTCCATCTGGCCTGGTTAATGAATAAACCCAGCCCCGTCCAGGACTGGAATTGGTGAGTCTGGGAGCCAGACCTCCACAATAGACCCCTTGTGGCCATATCAGATTTGCCAGGTGTTCTTCCTTGAGAGTGGAGGGGATTGGGAAAACTGGGGTATTGTGGGCTTGTAGTTAGGGCGTACACCTCACCTTCTTTCCCTCAGACTGAGCAGAGGTTGGAGGTACCTTTGCAATCCCCATTTCAAATTCACTGCTTACTGGAGTGCAAGTCCAGAGAGGAGTAGGGGCTAGCCCAGGCTCACACAGCCAAGCCCCAGCCAAGCCAGGCTTGGAACCCAGATTGCTAGCCTCCCTGCCTAGTTTTCTCTTTTGTGCTCCCCACAGTGAAGGGGGCTGGGGCCAGGAGGTGAGCAGAGCTGGGGCCTAAGGAGGGTGCTGGGCCTTGGCTCAGGGAAGGGAGGTGATCTCGAGATCTCAGATCCCCTCAGCACAGCCACGTGGAGCTCTGGGGGACAGGCAGAGGTCTCCAAGCTCCCCCATCCCCAAGACTCCAGGAATCTTGTTTCCGGTAAGAACCGCTGCTCTGAGTCGAGCATTTATCTGCATTGCCTGATTGACCTTCAGACCAGTCCTGGGCTGTAGTAAGCATATCTCCAAGCTACAAAGAAACTGAGGCTGAGAGAGGTGAGGTCACTTGCCTGAGGTCACACAGCAGCTAAGGTAGAAGTGGAACCCAGGTCAGCCTGGCTCCAGAGCCCCTGCCTCTGTCCACTTGGGCTCACATCTTCGTCAACATTTTGGCATTTGACCCCATCGGTAACTCTTTGAAGGACATGGTGTTCTCATCATCCTATTCCTGTTGATAAATTAAAAAGCTGAGGCCCAGTAAGGGGAGTGGCTTGCCAAGGTCACACAGCAGGTCTGAAGCCAGAGTTCCCAGGACTGATTGGGTCACTCCAGGAGACTGGGACTCAACCACAGGTATTTGTTGAGCTCCCCACTCCCCACCGCTGGTTCTTGGTCTGTCCCCTGACCTGGGAATGGCAGCTGCCCACTGGACATGCCCTGCACACGTGAATCTAGGGTGGGGGGAGGAGCCACATAGCTGCCTACCTGATTGATTTTCTCTACCTCACCCCGCTTCCCCCAGACTTATCTTCTCCCTACCCCTGTGTCCAGAGGTTCCTGGAAGTCACTGTGGCTCTGGCCCAGCATTTGGAGCCAGAAGGAGGGACAGAACTGCTGGAGGCCACCTCTGCCCTTTCCCTCCCTCTGGTCTGGCCTGGTCCCAGGCCTGCACAGTGCTCTGAGCGCCAAAGAGGAGGCAGATACCACCTCCTGTGAGGTCAGGCCTTGTCCCAAAGGCCGATGCTGAACACGGATCCTGGGCCCAAGGCAAAAGGCTTCTGGGCACCTGACTGCAGGTCTCTCAGTGCCCAGGCTAGGCTTCCTCAGAGCTGCTGTAGAAGAGAGAATTGGGCAACCAGGGGGCTGTCATTTATTCGAGCAGGGCCAGCGGGAGAAGGGGCTGAGGTCCAGTCCTGGTTATGGTGTTCTTATGTTCTGTGTGTGACTGTGGGCACATCCCTGCCCTCTCTGGGCTATTTCTCCATCTGTGCCATGGGGCTCTCCTGGCTCCAAGAGCCTCTAGACCCAGTACCTGTGCTGGGTCCCATGGAGAGGGATGAGGCACAGGGGACGGAAAGCTGGAGATGGCATGGCATGGCATGGCCGGCCCAGTCCTGCCCTGATGCTCACGTGCTCAGGCTCTCTGATCCTGCTGTGCACCTAGCCACCTGAGAGCAGAGGGTGGCCAGACCTCCGGAGGGTGGAGAGAGACTGACAATTCCAGATGGCTCCCTGCCCACTGCATGAGGCGGATATTCACAGGCTAATGACTGAGGCAGGAGTGGGTCCCAATGAGTAGGAGCCTTGAGGGCCTTGGCTAGAGCAGGGGTGTGAGGTCTCCTGGGGGAGCATGGCTGAGAACCTGAGGTTCTTCTTGCCACAGGAAGCTGAGCAGTGGGGACCTATCTCTTCTGACTTCCTGTCCTATGACTGCTCCTCTTCCCCTTTGGAGAAAGCTTGGTGACCCCTCTCTGACCTGTCTCACTGTCCACCTGCTTCCATGCCACAGCCTCCTGGGTTCCAAGCTCTTAGGCTAGTGCTCAGGTCTGTCCTCTCTCAGCACCTCATTTTCTTCCCCTGTGAAATTTGGGATCATCTCAGGGATCTCCAAGGACCCTTCTTACTCTTAATGGTCTATGGGACTCAAAAGGGTCAGGGGGATGGTGGAGACAGTCACAGGGCCAGGGGTTTTCTTCATGTATTTCCACTGAATCGTCACAAGTGTCTTGCGAACTCCATTGAACAGATGTGGAAGCTGAGGTTCGTTCAGGGCAGGAATTCACTTGTGCAGTCAAACAACTTGAAGGTGGCTGAGGCAGGATCAGAACCCAGGTCCTTGAGACTCCAAGGCCAGGATGGCTTCAGTGTCTCGGGCCTGCTTATTAGCACCACTGGGCCCTTCGATCTCCTGGACCCTGTCGCTCAGAACCCACCCCTTTCTCCTGCCTTAGGTCTCCCAGTGCTGTGTCATTGTGAGAGGGTACCCTGGAGGGGTCCCAGCTAAGCAAGAGCCAGTCCTTACTGTGTAACCTTGGGGTTCACTTTACCTTTCTGGGTCAATCTTCTTATCTGTGGTGGCAGAGGCAGGAGTTAATTGGGTTTTAGGGGTTTGGATTCAGTGATCTCAGATTTAGGCTGGGCTTCTGCCCCCTCTGGGGCTCAGTTTCCCTATTTCTCTAGAAAGATGCTGGGCAGGTGGTTTGTAGAGCCTGGCCTTATGTCATGGTAAGGGTGTCTGCAGTACTGGACACGGGGTAAGAATGGAGAGCTAAAGCCTTGCTGGTCTGTGCTGTCTGAGAGGTCCCTAGGTGGGCTCCTGAGGCCCTGAGAACCCCTGGCCTGGATTCCTGGATTTTCTGGTTCTAGCTGGATTCCTGGTTCTAGCTCTGACTTGGTGTAGGGGCAGCTGGAGGAAGTTGTCCACATCTGTCCTTAAGAAACAGGGCTCCCAGAGAGCTGCCCTCCCGAAGTCAGGGTCTGGATCTTCAGTTGGAAGAAATCAGAGACAGGAAAGTTCAGAGCTGGCTGGAGGCTTTAGGGAGGTGTTCCTGGAGGTCCTTCCTACAGGGGGAGAGAACAGGGTTCAGGGTCCCGGCCATGTGGCCTTGGGCAGATCGCTGCCCCTGCCCCAGCTTTAGCTTCCTCATCTGTTGCATGTGAGCAGCTGTGTTGGCGTGCCT